ATCCCCTCCCTAACCTCAGGGAAAGATCCCTAGCTGGGGAAACAACCTTTCTCGGAGAGGTGACCTTGGTTAAAACACATAGTGCCAAGAAGGTGAGCAAACATATTAAGAACAGTATGCCATATATGCCAGGTCCCTTGAAACAGCAAGGATGGACCGGCTCCCGGCATCCTGGTTCTAGAAAATTGTCTTAAAAAAACATTTTGTGGAAATTTTGAAAAAGTTGCAAATGGACTGAATATTAGGTGATGTTAGAAACATTTTCTTAGGCAAGATGATGGTTTTGTGGTGTACAGGAGAAAATATTTATTTTGGAGAAATGCATGATGAAGTCATGATGTGGGGGATTTTCAGGTAGTCAGCACCCCCCACTCAAATCCCTCACATGCACATAAGCAGATATGGCATAATGGTAACCATTGTTAGATTTATTTGTTTATTTTTAAAACATTTTTTATTGATTTTAGTGAGGAAGGGAGAGGGAGAGAGAGAGAGGAACATCAGTAACATCAATGGTGAGAAGAGAATCATTGATCGGCTGCCTCCTGCATGCCCACTACTGGGGATTGAGCCCGCAACCTGGGTATGTGCCCTTGACTGGAATCAAACCCAGGACCAGTCCACAGGCCGATGCTCTATCCACTGAGCCAAACCGGCTAGGCCTTAACAACTGTTAGATTTAGATGAAACAGGTGTTCACTGTATTATTTCAACTTTTCTTACTGAATATTTTTAGAATAAAAAGTTTTGGGGCGGGGGAGAATATATTTATAGCAGTTGGATTAATTGTTGGGCTATTGACAAGAGATTTCAAGACTTTTTGAGTAATGTTAAATTCCTTAGTGGTAAGCACTGCAATCTTGGTACCTGGACATTGCTTTTTTGTGTTTTCCCCCATTAACTGTTTTCTGATGAACATTGTACCCTTCTAACAATATACTGGGAACAATAAACTGAATTATTCCTAAACTTGAGGGCATATGTAAAAGCATTTCTGTCCAGGAGTGTTGAAGCCAGTGACCATTTTTTTAAAAATATATTTTTATTGATTTCAGAGAGGAAGGGAGAGGGATAGAAAGATAGAAACATCAATGATGAGAGAGAATCATTGATTGGCTGCCTTCTGCACAACCCACACTGGGGATTGAGGCTGCAAGTCAAACATATGCCCTGACCTGAAATCAAACCGTGACCTCCTGGTTCATTGGTCGATGCTTAACCACAGAGCCATGCTGGCCGGGCTCAAACTAATTCTTTGCTTCTATGTTTCCATCTTAAATTCTCCAAAGGATGATTGCATGTTTACTAGATTCCATGGATGTGCAGTTAGATGAATTGTCTCTTTTGTCTCCGTTATCTTTTTTTTAATTAAATCTTTATTGTTCAGATTATTACATTTGTTCCTCTTTTTTTCCCCCCATAACTCCTCTCCTTCCAGCTCCCACCCCACACTCTGCCCTCACTCCCCACCCTCTGTCCTCATCCATAGGTGCACGATTTTTGTCCAGTCCCTTCCTGCATCTCCCACACCCCTCCCCCCCCCCGAAGAATAGTCAGTCTATTCCCTTTCTATGTCCCTGATTCTATTATAATCAACAATTCATTCTGTTCCTCAGATTATTTATTCACTTGATTCTTAGATTCATTTGTTGATAGATGCATATTTGTTGTTCATAATTTGTATCTTTACCTTTTTCTTCTTCTTCCTCTTCTTAAAGGATACCTTTCAGCATTTCATATAATACTGGTTTAGTGGTGATGAACTCCTTTAGCTTTTCCTTATCTGTGAAGCTCTTTATCTGACCTTCAATTCTGAATGATAGCTTTGCTGGATAAAGTAATCTTGGTTGTAGGTTCTTGCTATTCATCACTTTGAATATTTCTTGCCACTCCCTTCTGGCCTGCAAAGTTTCTGTTGAGAAATCAGCTGACAGTCGTATGGGTATTCCCTTGTAGGTAACTGAGTTTCTTTCTCTTGCTGCTTTTAAGATTCTCTCTTTGTCTTTTGCTCTTGGCATTTTAATTATGATGTGTCTTGGTGTGGTCCTCTTTGGATTCCTTTTGTTTGGGGTTCTCTGCGCTTCCTGGACCTGTAAGTCTATTTCTTTCACCAAGTGGGGGAAGTTTTCTGTCATTATTTCTTCAAATAGGTTTTCAATATCTTGCTCTCTCTCATTTTCTGGTACCCCTATAATTCTGATGTTGGTACGTTTGAAGCTGTCCCAGAGGCTCCTTACACTATCTTCGTATTTTCGGGTTCTTTTTTCATTTTGCTTTTCCAGTTGGGTGTTTTTTGCTTCTTCGAATTTCAAATCTTTGACTTGATTCTTGCGCTCCTCTGGTCTGCTGTTGGTAGTCTGTACAATATTCTTTATTTCAGTTCGTGGATGCTTAATTTCTAGTTGGTTCTTTATCACAGCATCGAGGGTCTCATTAGATTTCTTGTAGATCTCAATAAGTTTATCGGCGGCTTCTAGACAGTTCTTGAGGGACCTTAAAAGTGTGGTTCTGAACTCAATATCCTCCCTTGATAATTTTGTCCTGTTTCTTTGTCTCCGCATTTTTTACCCTTTCTTGGTGCACCCCATAGTGGTCTCTGTGCGTAGTCTTGTTGTAGTTAAGCCTTGATTGTTGTAGTTAATACTAGTGGGATTTGACCACCAGGCCCACTGGCTGTGAGAATCAGCTGTGTCTGCAGTGGGAAAACTTCTGTCCTCTGGAGAGGTGCTTATCTAGCCTTTGCCTGAGGCTATCCGGCAAATGGCTCTGCGCAGGGCTTGGGCAGGGCGGGTCCCACGAGATCAACAGGGTGGGCGGAGGGAGCAGTTATGGCTGCTGTCAGTCCTGTTCCCAGAGGCTCTGCTTCTCAGAACCCCAGCAACCGCTGCAAACCTCGGAGAGAAAGCTGCCCTCACATTCCGACCGATGCCAGACAATCCTGCTTCTCCTGTTTGAGTCTGAGTCCCTAGAGACTCGCCCGGATCTGGAGCTCAGAGTCTGAGACTCCCTCCAAATTGAAAACGACAACTGCGCCCTCAGCCACCAGCCCGCTCCACGCGCACCTCCGTACCTTTGTATTTTCCACACTGCGCCTCCTCTGAGCCTCGGTATGCTGTTCTCTTTCCTTCTAGTTGAAGAATATCTCCTCAGCCAGCCTTCCTGTGGTTCTGGGTGATGTCCGTTCCGTCTTTTAGTTGTATTTTTGAAGTGGTTGTTCGAGGCAGCAAACTCCGGTGTGTACCTATGCTGCCATCTTGGTTTCTCCCTTGTCTCCGTTATCTTAAGCTTGCTTGTAAATAGAACGATAAGATTTTTAATTTCAGTCCTTTTGGTCTGGAAAACATACTGTTATTTAGTCTTCTTACTATATGGGGGAAGATATTTTATATTTGATTAGGAATAAATACCAGGTGTATGTGACTCAGATTTAGTTGAACAAATAAACAGGTAACTAAAATGCTGTATGCAGATAAATTAAAATGCCATGTAATACCTGTGTGTCCACAGTGTGGTGAGAGTCAGGGGACTGGCTCTGAAGGAAGGATTTCTCAAAGAAGTTGCTGATTGAACTGGAAGTTGGGAAAAGAAGGGCATTCTAGGCAGAGGGAGTCAGCCAAACGATTTATGGAAAAACATGGTGTTTTCTAAGTTCAGAATGGATGTACCCAGGGTTTGGGTGTGGAGAGATGCTTGCAGGTGCTGAGTGGATCCAAATTGAAGGGCCTTGTTTGTACCTGGCAACTTGAAATTTAAACTGTACACAGAAGGAACCTGTCAAGGATGTTAAAATGGAAAGTACATCTTCAGTTCTGTACTTTGAGAAGATATGACTTTGGTGGCAATGTGTAGGATGTGTAGGATTGGCTGGAGAGTAGAGACTGTTGTCAAGGATACTGTTCTATGATAGTTCAGGGAGGAAAGATTGGCTCTGAAGAGAGAAGACGGAGATGAGAGACAGAGCTGAGGGAATGTGCAAGTCCTGAGACATCAGGAGTAAGGGAGAGTATGGAAATACTATTGGGGTGGGGATGGGAGTGGCCTGGAAGAGATTAATGGGGGGAAAGGAGGACCTATGTAATACTTTCAACAATATAGATTTAAAAAATAAAAATAAAATAAAATACTATCTTCTTTTAGAGCCTGGGAGGATGGGATTTCATAAAAGGAAGCTGAGTCAATAATAGGTACAGCGTAGATTTGGGACATTTCAGGAGGGAGTGCAGCTCTAATGCCGGTTTTTCCTAAATTCAACAACCACAGATCAGACAGTTCAATTTAAAACTGGACAGAGGGCTTGAATGGACATTTCTCTAAAGATGTGTACATGGCCAATGAGCACATGAAACAGTGCTCAGCATGTTTAATCATTAGGCATATGCAAATCAAAACCACAGTGAGATACTATGTCATACCTACTGAGATGACTGATATATTAAACAATGAAAAAAATAAGTGAGGATGTTTAAACTGGAACCCTGTGATTACTGGTGGAAAAGTAAAAAATGCCACTGTGGGAAACCATTTGCTGTTTCTCAAAAAGTTAAACCTAGGCAGGGTGGAGGGGATCAATGAGGGATAGAAAGGGACATCTATAATATTTTCAACAATAAATTTCAAGATAAATAAGGGGGGAAAAGTTAAACCTAGAATCACCATATGATCCAACAATTCCCCTTTTGAGTATATATACACAAAAGACAGAAGCATCGATCAGATGCTCAAACCTCAGAGGGAAGGTAGGGGAGGGTGGGGGTAAGGGGTAGAGGTCAACCAAAGGACTTGTATACATGCATATAAGCATAACCAATGGACACAGACACCAGGGGAGTGAGGTCATGAACAGGAGTGGAGTGGGGGGCAATGGGGGGTTAGGACACATATGTAATACCTTAATAAAAAATGTTGAAATTAAAAAAA